CTGTTCCCGCCCTGTGTCCCCAGTGCAACTAGCAGTGACATCAGGTTCCGGTGGCAGCAATGGGTTCATTTCTGATACATATCTTCTGAACTCCCAGAATCGACCTCATAGTTCCGCTTCAGACACACCAGCACCAGCCAGCCAGCCCCCCATCCTCGGAAGAACGGGTCTGTGCCTCATGGAGCCCCTCCTCCAGGCTTCTAGGTTCTGGGATCCCAGTTCTTTGTCCCCTTCCTCTGTCCAGGGAGAAAGCTGGCAGCTGCTTCCCATAGTTACCACCTCTGTGATTCCTCAGTGTCCCCTTCTGCCTTATCAGTCTCCCAATACCCATATAACATTCTTGCTCTCCAAATAGCTCGTGTGGCTGTGTCTCCTGGCTGCCGTGTGACTGAATCTCTGCCGAGCCATGCCCCTCACCACCTGGCCGCCCGCCCCCACAGCCATGGCTGTCGACAAGATTCCTCCCAGGACGTTTGTCTCAACTCACTCCATCATGCTTCCAGGAACAGGGAGTTTATGATTATAATAGCTGCTTGTTTCTTTCAAATCAAGGCAAAATATGTCTTCCTCAAACTGCCAGTTGCTTTAATTTTGAGCCCTAGTGAGGATAGGAAGTAAATTTCTATGAATTTTAAACATTTTTAATGTTTATTTTTGAGAGAGAGGCAGAGTGTGAGTGGGGGAGGGGCAGAGAGAGAGGGAGAGACAGAATCCGAAGCAGGTTCCAGGCTCTGGGCTATCAGCACAGAGCCCGAGGTGGGGCTTGAACCCAGGAAACATTTCCAACTGACCCGAAGTCAGACGCTTAACCGACTGAGCCACCCAGGTGCCCCTAAATTTCCATGAATTTTAGAGTCAAATGCCAAATGGTCTTAGATTCAAATTCTGCCTTAGCTGTGTGGCCATTAGCAAGTTACTTTCCCTCTCTGGGCCTGTTTCCTCATCTATAGAAGGGGTAGAATAATAATACTTTGCTCACCGTGCTGTAAGGATTACATATGTGAGGAAAAGTACTGAGAGTAGTTACCTCCACATGTAAGACTCGGTGAACGGACAGCATGTCTGTCCTCTTAGCCTTGCTGTCAGAGGGGTCAGCACACTCTTGTGGGCACAGACGACATCTGGAGCCCCCATCTGCCTCTCTTCCTTCCCTCTGGAAATGCCGTGTGAAGATTCCTGTAAACAGTATCAGGCAGAGCAATGACTCTGTCTTCCCAAGCTCCTTCCACTAATGCACATCTGTGACAGGGAGGCTGACTAATTACAAACCTGCCGATGATCTAATTTCCCTGCTGCAACCTGAATGGTCCGTTACCGTGTGGCCTTTTCTGTTCCTTATTTGCAGAAGAGGGTATTCCTCAGGCAGAGAACGATTCTTCCTTATACTCTGCTATCACGAACTTAATACTGATGCAACTGGCCTTTCTTTGCGGGGAATGTTCTTGGCACACTAAACACCTTGCCCACGTTTCTGGGGGTTCTGCCGTGTGATAGTTTGGATGCCGCTGACCCTCTCTGGGCCTGAGTCGTTTCTCTCATACTGAGAGTTCAAATGCTTGATCCTTGTTGAGATCAGAGGAGAATCTGAAATGCTTAGTGCTTGAGTTACTATGAGGGGAGATTGAAAATTGGAGCCTGGCTCTAGGATTTTTGGTAATCACAAAGCTTTACCTATCTATACCTATGGAGCTGTTTTAGGGGCTAGGGGCAGGCGTGGGGGCACCACCACCACAAGAGTGGCAGCAGTAGGAGCAGTAACAATGACCTCTGCACTGCAGACTGGCTTACAATGCCAGATACTCTATTGAGCACATTGATTTCATTGTAGCCTCCAAATGAGATAAGGGTTATTATTCCCATTTTCCAGAAGGAATAACTGAGGCTCTACTGCTTGCTCAACCGCCGCTAGATTGCAGACCCTAGAATCTCAGGCCCGTCATTGGCCTTTGGACTTGCTGTTCTTTCAGCTGGAACAGTTATTACCCCACAGAGCTTTGTGGCTGGTTCGGGGTCTCTGCTTAAATGTCATTTAACGGGACAAAACTTTTCTCAGTGACTCTATAACCTAGAAACTCCTGTCCCTCTCCACCCACTCAATAAGCTCTCTTTTCCTTCACAGCACAGTCCTGTATGCAGACACAATGTCCTTCGGCCTCAGGAGTGTGACCCCAGTAAGCCCAGGGACTTTGTTTCCTACCTCACTGTGTGCTCAGCGCCTGGAGCAGAGGCCAAGGTGGTATGTCTTCAGCTCGCGTTTGCGCAGAGTGAACGAGCAGGTGTTTCAATGCCTGGGGCAAAGGGTGGTGCTCTTAACCATTACCTGTCTTGCCTGGAGGGGGGATGAGATACTGGTTCTCGGGATTTTCCAGCTCCCTCAGACAAACAATACTGTTGTTTTATTCCCCCCTTCATTTCAAATGCTAGGATTCCAGATTTTGAAGTTGGAGCCCAAATGCAATCCCCACCCCGACCCCGACAGCCGGCCATCTCCTGTCATCCAGAAACAGATGCAGCCTACAGCCTTCTGAGAGTCCCTGCTCCTGCAGATTCCTGGCCACAGCTAATGCCACTAAAGTCACAGTCACTGTTTCCTCTGGCTTCTCAGTCTTCAGTGTCCCTGCCTCATGTGGGATGGGAGAGAGAAGCAACAGGGTCTAGCTGAGAGTTCTGTCCTACAAAGCTCAGAGGGTAGCACTCTCCTCGGCAAATGGCCAGGTAGATACCACAGCCTCCCTCCATCTTTCTCTAAACTCTCTCCTCCTCCCTGCTGCCAGGTAGCGCTGCTCTTTGCCTGCTCCTTGCCCACCAGGTGTGTTCCGTGACCTAGTTCTTTCTTCCTCCTTCTTAAAAAAAATTTTAAACGTTTTTATTTATTTTTGAGAGGACAGAGACAGAGCACAGTGGGGGAGGGGCAGAGAGAGAGGGAGACACAGATGCTGAAGCAGGCTCCAGGCTCTGAGCTGTGAGCACAGAGCCCGACGCGGGGCTCGAACTCACAAGCCTTGAGATCATGACCTGAGCTGAAGCGGGATGCTTAACCGACTGAGCCACCCAGGCTCCCCTCCTTCTCTTTCTTCACACTTACCTGCCCTGTGTCTCCAGTCCACTAAGATTCTGCAAAGTGAAGAAAGTTCATCAGACCAATGGATTCTTAACAAGGTCTGGTGCCTGATGATGAATCCACTCCACCGTAAGGTTGGGAGGGCACTGACCTTGTGTGTCCAGTTGGCCTGGCTTGGTGTTTTCTACATCCTGGGAGCTTGGTTAATATTGGATATGTGAATAAGTGAACAAAAGACATTAACATTCCCAGATACTATGTGCATTTTAACTGGCACCTTTGATGCCTTAAGGCAAAGAGTGAACAGTGTGTCAATTTCAAGCCCTAAGACATCAAGCATGATGGGATATTTTCTGTCACAATGTCTTTCTCTGTACATGCCGTGACTTTTACCATGCCAGTGAGTCAGAGCATGCAGGCCACTTTGGGGCTCTGTGCTTATTGCCTGTCTTCAGGGTCTGGTCTTGGAGCTGAGCTTTGATGGTGACCCCCCCCTTAGGGCTGAGGTTTGCTTCAAGATTCACTTCCACGTGAGTCATGTAAGATGGGGAAGAAACCAGACAGGGAGCATGAGTTCACTTATCTGGCATTTTGTCAACTGGCAGTCAGTCCATCCTCCGGCCCTTAAGCAATCTGCTCTTCTCCAACATCCCAGCGAAGCAGATAACAGGGAGACAAGAGAGGAAGAGAAAGACTTTCCCAGGGCATAGCGTAGTTCAGCTGAAAGTAGATTTCATACCTGCTGTTCATGTGGCCACCATGCACAGACAGTGCCCATGCTGATGGCCCAGGAGGACCTTTTGAATCACCAAGGAAAGTAAAATATGAATGTCATGGGAGAGGTTCAGGCCCTGTGCGGGGGGATGGGGTGGGGGTGGTGGGGGTGGGATGAGACGTCCTGCGAGGTCCCTTCTGACCTGTACAGTCTGTGGGACCGAACAGCAACCAGACTTTTTATTAAACGTATTTGCACCCTGGACTTGATATTTGCATATCACCTTGCAGTTTTACTTCTAAGAGTATTTTACTGTAATCAAATCAAATTCCCCTGTGGCATTTCTGAGGAACACTCTCATCATCCAGGCAAGTCCTAATTGCACTCCTATCCTAATGAGAGCACAGACTCTTGCCACGCAGCCGACTTTGAGATGGGGCGGGGTGGGGGGGGGGTTGGGGGGGCAGTGCGCCTCGAGCCAGAGGCAGTCGAGGCATTGGCCTTCCAAGTCACAGAGGCAGCCACCCCTGCTGCAGGTGCCCAAGGAACCTCACAGCCCAGCTCGCCAGGGCTCCGGCTCAGCCCGACTTCATGATGCAAACCAGGCTGCTCGGCTGCTGCCTGTAAACTTTCCACTGAGTGCCGAGCCGCGGCTTTCGGCTCTGTGGGGAGTTCACCCACATCCCGATCAAGGCAGGGAGAATTGATCTTTAGATTAACCAGGAAGGAAAGAGCGGGAGAGCAAGCAGGAGCTGCTGAGCGGAGTGTTTTTGCGTAGCTGTCCCCTCCCTTCTGACTCGAGTATTAATTGCTACATTACCACTGCCATGTAAGAAAGACAGCAAAGCCTGGGAGAGCTCCAGCTCCTCCCTCCCTGCTCCGCTCAGCCTCACTCCTCCTTGGTGCCTTCGGAGCACCCTGTGCCCTGGCAGTGTGTCCCGCTCCCAGCCCCGGCATCCCGAGGTCCTCGCCTGGTGAGGACTTGAGTGGACAGCAGGAGGGGGTGGAGGGAGGGAGGGAGGAAGGGAGCAAACATCGTGCCCTGCAGGCTTTCTGGATGCAGAAGCCAGACTCACTGCAGAGGCAGCTGTTCTGTTCCCAGAGCCTCTGGGGTACATCCGGCTCTCAGGGGTTGCCTAGGCGGGCTCCAAGTTCCAGGATCGCACAAGGTGGGTGCCTTCCCTTCTGGGCGCTCACAGCAGAGCTTACCTTCCCTCTGCCACCATGAGCGGCTGTTCCAAAAGATGCAAGCTTGGGTTCGTGAAATTTGCCCAGACCATCTTTAAGCTCATCACTGGGACCCTCAGCAAAGGTAGGGAGCCTGGCCTTGACCCTCGTCTTGTGTCTTAATGTGGTCTGGCTGGCCAAAGTGGCAAGTGCCTTGGTGTGGCGACTGTGGCCGTTCTGGTGTGCCGGGGTCTCAGAGGAGGGTGGGGGGAAATGGGTGGCTGGGATTCGGGGTCGCTGGCAACCTGGGCTCCGGCTCTGAGCAGGCAGGCACCGTGCCAGGGAGCTCAGCCGGCCGTAATTGCCTGGAACTTTGGAAATGGATTTGGTGGTGTGTGACTGATTGGTTACAGGAGAGCAGAGGGACAGAGCCCTTCCCAGAGCACTGGAAGCTGCTTAGCGTGACTAGAGTTTCAAGAAGTTATCCAGGGAGCGTTGTGTCTTGTTGATAAAGGAGAGATTTGATGCGGTGGGCTGGGAGTAATTCTGCAGAACAAAGACTTTTGAGGAGGCCAGCAGGAGATGGCAGCAGGAGTGGGATCCACCATGCCCTGGTGAACACAGGATTCGGATTCCCATCAGCTCTGGGTCTGGTGTGCCAAGAGCTTTCTCTCACTGAGTCCCAGGGTCCTGCGTTTCTGGGGCTTTGTTCATCATTCTGCTTTCCGGGACCCCTGTCCCTCTGCGGACCCTGCCTACGTCAATGTCTGCCTTCTCTACTTCTCCAAGAACTGGGGTGGCAGGGGGTTGGCAGGTTCCACTCCCTAGGCGGCCCAGAAAGGGTAGTTGTGAAGGGGCCCTGGGACCGTGTGTACACAAGTCAGCCCCAGAGGCTGAGGAGGGAAGGCTGACTTCTCAGGGCCGTTCCTATCTCTGGAGCCCCCTATTACACTGCCAGGGAAGGCGAGGCGCTCAGAGAGACTCTGGCAAACTTTCTGGAGATAACATTTAAAGAGAGAGCAGCAGCATGATGTGGTTTCACTGGCTGAAAAAAAGTCTTTAAATATTCATGCCCTCTTTCAGGAGGAAAGAGTCTTTGGGGGAGATGCATCTGAAGCAGCAGGGAGGGTATTCAGGGAATGAGGGAGGGACACAAACCCTTGACGGATTTGTTTTAAATGACAAGAAGAGAAGATAAAGGCTGCCTGTGGCCAGCTCTGATGACCTGGGGCAGGTGCTCTGGGCAGGCGGGTGTGGGAGGGAGGGACGTGGTGAGGTTTGCCTGTCTCCTTTCGCCCATCGGCACCCCTGCTCTGTCCCCACTACACTTCTGAAAGAGGGTGCTGCCCCCCAGGACCCTCAGGGAGACCGACAGCCCAATGCTGAGGGTCAGGCTGTGGGCAGATTTACTAGGGCCCCTGTAGGATGGACGGAGGTGAGGAGGAGAGAGCCAGGCTTAGAGGATGGCACAGAGTCCTCACCGAAATTCAATCCTTCCAGACAAATGGGATTTTCTCCCCACGTCATGGATTCCAGGATCTCAGGGTACAAGGGATGAGGGGCAGCCTCTGATTCCCAGAGGTTTAGCGAAAAGAGCTTTGACCCGGACTCAGGAAACCTAGGTCTCAACTCTGGCTTTACTCCCCATGCAAGCCGCAGCCTCTCTGAGCCTCAGTTTCCTCATCTGCAAAATGAGTCCATTACCTGCCATCTGTTTACCTCCCAGCCCTGTCGAAAGGATCCAGGGAAGCCGAGACAGGGGATCCCTCTGCAGATGGCATTGCAATGAGCAGACGGGAGGGAGCCCGTCAGGGACTGAGATGGAAGTGGGTCTGGAGAGGGTGACCCAGGCCATGCCTTCTGCAGGACCAGGGTCAAAGGGCCTTTAATGTGGCTGACCACAGGTGAGTCTGCACTCCAGGCAGCACCAGAGGGAGAGAGAGATCACAGCAATAAGGGTCAGTGTGAGAAAGTGAGTCAATAAGGGAGAGAGCACCTGCAAAAGTGTGGGGGGTGGGAGGGAGAGGGAGAGAGAGAGAGAAAGTGGATAGATGGCTATTTGAATTTGAATAAGTGACCAGGAAGATACTGTCTTCTGCATATTTGCCTACAATCATCGCTTAACATTTATTGACTGAGCACCTACCCTGTGCCACGCTAATTGCTGGACACTGGACACACAGAGAAGATGACACAAGTCCTCCATCCAGCAATGTGCATGCTGTGGGAGCACAGGCTGAATGCACAGACCTCAGCTGAGATGAGGAGGGCAGAACCAGGCAGGTAGAAGCAGGTTGGCACTAGCAGAGAGTGGCATGGAGTGCCGGCCTCTGCAGAGAAACCAGGCAGGATGGCCCCCTCCCTCCCCTCAGAATCCCAGAGACTAAGATCTGTGGGACACAGAAAGGGCTCCACGGGACCCACACTGGGGACCTAGTGGCCACCTGGCCTTTCTCCGACCCGCCTCCTTACTGAGTTTCCTATAGCCAGGGCTCAGGGAGGCGGCCTCCAGAGGGTACCAGGGCAGGATTGTGTTTCTGCAGTCTGCAGCGAGCACCGACTGTTTACACAGCCCTGGCTCTGTGCCAGGCACGTGCTGGGAAACTGCTGTTCTGCCCAACCCAGGTGTTTGCTAAATATTTGTTAAATAAATGACCGTGGGAGCAGAGCCAGGACTGGAGCAGGGAGAGCAAAGAGAGGTCTTTCTTATGCATAGGCCAGCCCTGGGTGACTAGATTAGACCCTGGTGGACACATGACATTAGTTTAATGATTGTTGGGTTTGTGATTTCCCTTACTCCTTACTCATTGCACTGAGCCCTCACTTCACAATAATCCAACGCTTAGGAGGATTTTTCTTTCTCCCTTCCAGAACTGAGGAATGTAGAGGTGCCTGCGTGGCTCAGTCAGTTAAGTGTCCGGCTCTTGATTTCGGCTCAGGTCCAGCCCTGCATCGGGCTCCATGCAGAGCCTGCTTGGGATTCTTTTCCTCCTTCTCTGTCTGCCCCTCCCCTGCTCTCTCTCTCTCTCTCTCTCTCTCTAAATAAATAGATAAAATTAAAAAAAGAAGAAGAAGAACTGAGGAATGTAAAGATTCGATAGGACCAGGTACCTGCTGCTGGTCGTGGGGGCAACTCGTTATTTCTTACCTGCCTTGGAAATACCTGGAGAACAGGGAGAGCCCATGACCATCCCTCCCTGTCCTTCCATTCCTGGATCACAGCCACCTGCCCCTGATTTTAGTACCCCTTTCCCACTGGTCTAAGCTAAAGGTGGCCCAGACTTTTCACAGGTGCCCTTTTCAGAGATGAACTGATCAGGTCCTCTTGCTCACACATCTCCTTGACCTTGAGCTTTTCCTTTATAGCTCTGATCACAATCTGCGATCCCCGTTCCTTTTAAAAACATGTTTGCTAAAGGCTGTCTTCCCTGCTAGACTTCAGCCCTCTGAGGGCAGGGATCACAGAGGACCCGGTGTCCAGAGCTACTTGTCATGTGCCTGGCCCGCAGTGACTGCTTCACCAATAGCATTAAATGGACGAAGCAGCAACTCAGGGCACAGACACTGGTTGAGGGTCCCCAGAAGATTTTAGAGTGGGAGCTTTCTAGAATTCACCGTTCAAGCTCCTGTCCCAGAGGCGCTCAGTAAAGGCTCTCTGTACTCTGTCCAGCTGCAGGACCTGAATCTGTGGCCAGAAGGTGAGCCTCCAGCCAGACAAATCATTCAGAACCATGCCTGAGCTTTCTCGGTATCTCAGGAAGGGCATTTAATTGTCCCCACGAGGGGAGGCTGTGCAGGGGAAGATCTGGCACACCCATCCCTGCCCCTTCAGCTCTACTTTGATTTGTTTCACATACTGAATTTCTTTGAAATTTAAAGAACGAGTTTCTCTTGCTTTAAAAAAAAAGTTTGTAAACCAATTATGCAGAGGAAAGGACAATTGGTTGCCAGACTGGGGCATCCTTGGGTCCCCCCCCCCCCCCCCCCCCCCCTGCACACTGGCAAGGAAGTCTCCTGCAGGGTCCTTCACCTCTCTGGCCTCAGCTACCTAATCTATAAAATGGAATCACAATGTCCTCCTTATAGGATTAAACAAGATTGTGCATATAAAGCTCTCTGCATATTAAGCACTCAGGAAATGTTTGTTGATGTGACTGCAGTTATTAGCTGATACTCAAGACTGTGAGCGCCTCAGGGCAGGGACTCCATCTCACTAACTGCTTGTTTCTTCAGCGCTGGCACAGACTCTCAGAGTGGCCTCTCTAGAACATTCGATTCCCCTCTCCAGAACTTGCTTTCCTAAGGCCCCACCTAGTGATTGTGCTAAGACTGACCTTTGAGACATTTCCCACACCCGATTAGCTTATTAGATTAGATATTAATAGCATGACTCCCAGAGCCGGGCCCTCCCCTGCTCTTTGAGCAGACACCCGGCTTGAATGCCTAGTTAAGCCACGGGTGGGAACAGAAGTTGTTCAGGCTCCACTCTGGTTGGGGAGGTTTAAAAGCCTATCTCCTTCTGTACTTTGGGAACTCATCCGTCACCCCAGGCACAGATGGTGAAGCCAAAGCCAGCAGGAGGGAAGAATCCAATCCAGGAGAGCTTCTAGTTGTCCAGGCCACCCGCACGGCTGCAGGGTGGGGAGGGGGTGGGAGGGCTGACCTTGTATGATTTATCTCAAGGACAATGCCCCGGAGCCCCGACACCCCCCTCCCACGCAGTCAGTTGTTTCTCTCTGTGCTTCGGACCTGTCAGAGACATACTGTTCCTCTTGCCTCTTCCCCTCAAGAAACTAACCTTGAACTTGGCTCTGCCTTCAGGCAGGCCCAGCTTGAGTCCCAGCTCTGTCATCTACCAGCTGTGTGAGCTTGGGTGAAGTACACAGCCTCCCTAAGCCAAGGTTCCTCACTTTTAATTGGAGATAATAACAGTACCAACAGCACAAGGTTGTTTTCTAATTCAGTGAGGATGATGCAGATGGCAGGGCAAATGGTGACCCTGAACTTGCAGGGAGCTGAGGGTGAGTCCCTCCTTAACCTTTGGGCCCTAGGCACCTCTCTTTTCTGCCCCAGTCCTGACCCTCGGAATAGGTATTGCAATCACCATTTTAGCACATAAGGAAATTGACCTTTAATTAAGCCAGA